TGTTATAAATCCTAATCTGTTACTGAGGCAAAATTAATTATTGTTGTTAATAGGTGCCATTGAGTCAGTGCCTACTCATAACAACCTTATGTACAACAGAACAAAACACTGCCCGGTCCTGTGCTATCTTCACAATGGTTCTTATGTGTTGCAGCCACCTTGTTAGTCCATCTCATCAAGGGCCTTCCCCTCTTTTTGCTCCTCCTCTCCTTTATCAAGCATGATGCCTTTCTCCAGGAACTGGGTCTCTTCTGAGAACATGTCCATTGTACGCGAGACAGTTGCACCATCCTTGCCTCTAAGGAGCATTATCCCGCCACTTCTTCCAAGACAGACTTGTTTGTTCTTTTAGCAAGGTACTTCCAATATTTGCCAGCAGCATAATTCAGATGGCTCAATTCTTCACATGCGTATGCAGCAATTGAAAGTACCATGGCTTATGTAGGCTCCATCTGACATCAGCAGTAATATCCTTTGTTCCTGGAGCTCCCTGTCAGTGTACTGCTGCAACCATTGTTGGGTTGCCCTCGTAAGCCATGGTACTTATGTAGGGCACCTTAGTCCTCAAAATAACATCTCTGATTAACAGCACTTTGAAGTCTTGTTCAGCAGATTTACCTGATACAGTGAGTCCTTTTATCTCATCGTTTTATGCTTCCATCCATGACCATTGATTGTGGATCCAAGTGAGATGAAATCCTTGACAAGTTCCATCTTTTCTCCATTTATCATAATGTTACCTCTTGGTACAGTTGTGAGGATTTTGGTCTTCTTTTCATGAGTTGTAATCCACACTGAAAGCTAAAATCCTTGATCTTCATCAGCCAGCAAGCAAGTCACTTTCAGACAGCAAGATTGTGTCATCTGCATATTACAGGATGGTAATAAGCCTTCCTCCAATCCTGATGCCTCATTCTTCTTCATATAATCTAGTTTCTCTATTTGCTCGGTGTTTAGATTGAATAAGTATAGTGAGAGGATACAACACAGTTTTCCTGATTTTAAGCCATGCAGTATTCCCTTGTTCTGTTCTCATAACTGTCTCTTTATCCATGTACTGGTTCTGCATAAGCACAATGAAGCATTCTGGAATTGCCATACTTCTCAGGACTATCCATAGTTTGTTATGATCCACACATTTGAATGCTTTTGTATAGACAATAAAACACAAACATCTTTCTGGTATTCTCTACTTTCACCCAGGATCCATCTGACATCATCAGTGATATCCTTTGTTCCACGTCCTCTTCTGAATCAGTCCTGAACTTCTGGCAGCTCCCTGTCAGTGTACTGCTTCAGCCATTGTTGGGTGATCTTCAGCAAAATTTTACTTGCATGTGATACCAGTGATAATTGCTCTGTAATTTGAGCATTCTGTTGGGTCAACTTTCTTTGGAATCGGTACCAATATGGATCTCTTCTAGTCACTTGGCCAAGTAGCTGTCCTCCAAATTTCCTGGTGTAGACAAGTGAGGGCTTCTAGTGCTCTATCAGCTTGTTTAACCATTTCAATAGTATTCCATCAATCCCCGAAGCCTTGTTTTTAGCTACTGTTTTCAGTGCAGCTTGAACTTCTTCCTTCAGCACCATTGGCTCATGCTCATGTGCTGCCTCCTCAAATAGTTGGATGTCCACTAGTTCCTTTTGGTACAGTGACTCTCAAATCTTTGCATCTTCTTTCGATGCTTCCTGCATCATTTAGTGTTTTGCCCATAGAATCTTTGAATATTGCAACTCAAGGCTTGATTTTTTTTCCCCTACAGTTCTTTTAGTTTAAAATATGCTGAGTGTGTTCTTCCTTTTTGATTTTCTAACTCTAGGTCTTTGCGCTTTTCATTATAATATTTTACTTGGCTTCTCGAGCTTCCCTTGAAAATGTTCTATTCAACTCTTTGACTTCGTCATTTCTTCCATTTGTCTTAGCTAATCTATGAATTAGGAGCAAGTTTCAGGTACTTTCTGATAATCACTTGGATCTTTTCTTTGTTCCCAGTCTTTTAAATGACCTTTTACTTTCTTCATGTATGATGTTCTTGATGTCACCCCACAGTTCATCAGGACTTTTGTAATTAGTATTCAAGATAGCAAATCTGTTCTTGAAATGGTCTTGAAACTCAGATGGGATGTACTCAGGGTCATATTTTGGCCCTCCTGGACTTACTTTCATTTTCTTCAACTTTATCCTAAACTTACATATGATCAGTTGGTGGTCTTTTCCACAGTCAGCCTTGTTTTAGTTACTGATATTGAGCTTCTCCATCATCTCTTCCCATAGATGTAGTCATTTTAATTTGTATGTATTCCATCTGGAGAAATCCTGTGTATAGTCCTATTTGTGTTGAAAAAAAAAAGGTATTTGCTATGAAGAAGCCATTGGTTTTACAAAATTCTTTCATGCAATCTCCAGCTTCTTCGTTTCTATCACCAAAACCATATTTTCCAACTACTGTTCCTTCCTCTTTGTTCCCAATTTTTGCATTCCAGTCATCAAGAATTATCAATGCATCTTGATTGCACATTTAATCAATTTCAGACTGAAGACATAATTCTTCAATTTCTGTATCACTAGTTTTCATGGCAGGTTCATGAATTTGAATAATAGTTGTAGTGACTAGATATGCTTACATACAGATAAATATAATCATATCACAGCATTGTACTTCAAGCTAGCTCTTGAAATGTCCTTTTTTGCAATGCTATGCTTCTTGATTATGTCATTCCCAGCATAGTACACCGTATGATTTTGTGATTCAGCATGACAAATGTCGGTCCATGTCAGCACACTAAAATACCTAGGCTATCAATCTTAATTGATTTCATTTTATTTTTGATGGCTTCCAATTTTTCTAGGTTCATACTTTGGGCATTCAAAGTTCCGATTATTAGTAGCTGTGTGCAGCGGTTTCTTCTCATTTTGAGCCATGCCCCATAATGAAAGTCCCAAAGACTGTACTCCATTTGTGTCATGATGGTCCACTACACTCTGATTATCTGGCAGCTCTTCCTCGGTTATATTTTGAGCTTCTCCTGACCTGAGGGGTTCATCTTGTGGCACAGTCTCTTGACAAAGTTCAGTTTCATTAGGCCTTCAGTATGCGACATTTCCATGTTCTTCATAAGGTTCTCATCAACTAATTCATCCAAAGTGGGCACCCTATTCCTTCTTCACAGTCTGATCGTCTGAAAGCCCTGAAACCTGTTCATTTTGGATGACCCTGCTGATATTTAAAATACTAGTGGCATAGCTTCCAGTATTACAGCAACACACCAGCCACCACAGTATGACAAACTGGCAGACAAGAAGTAGGCAAGATTTCAGTTAAGTTAATAAGATGGGATACAATCAATAGGATTAGCTTGTATCGTGGGTCCATCTCCTTTCAGATTTAAGAGAAACAAATGAGTAGAGGTCTGAGAGATGTCAGTACCATGGGGAGAAAAAAAGAGCTTTGGGTGGGGGGTACCCTTTGTACCCAAGGTCCCAGTCTTAAGACAGTGTTAGACCCAGGGGACAATTAATACCAAGATACATGGAGAGCTCCCTAAAACGCAGATGCTGAATTGCAACAGGGACCTTCCCCTAGAACCAACAGAGTGAGAAAGCCCTCCCCTAGAGCTGGTCCCCTGAGTGCAGACTTCTAGCCTCCTCAACCATGAGAAAATAACCTTCTGTTAGCCATCGCTTGTAGTTTTTGTCACAGCAGCACTAATTAACTAAGATAGGGCCTGACAAGGTAAGGATTATAGCTACCTTCTTTTCCTCTTCACATATGGCATTTCAAGGCAGTCTGCACAATTTGAACCAAATGGGTTCAAAGTTATATTGCTATCTAATCCTACCTGACCTGTAATGCTAGGGTTTCCCTTTACAGTGATAAACAGGCTTCCACAGATCAGTGAGGATGGCTGTGTTTTGGGTCCACTATAAAAGGAGGATTTATATATAATAGTACTTAAATTTTGTAATGTTTTTATGATTAAATGAATTAAAGCATATAAAAGCACTTAGAAGAGTATACAACATGGACTAGTTTTCAATAAATGTAAGCTATTATATCATTGTTTTCATAACAGGGGTATGAGAACTAATTTTTGTGGCCCTGTTTAAGAATGAACATAAATAATCACTACTATGGTCTGAGTCAAATGAAAGTGATTTAGGTCAGAGGATTAAGGCTTGTACCACCCTTCCCTACCCATCTTTGTGGTCAGAGAAGTTTTGTGTCCAGCTAGCCAAGAAGGGAAAGCATTCCAGAATTTAAAGCATTTTGGGTCTTTAGGAAAAATCAACCTGGAGTCTTCACAACACCTCTCAGTTTCTGTCTTCTGACATCCTTTTCTTTCAGCTTCAACTCTGCCTACCTTTCTCCTTTTTTCTAGCTATTTCATCCACAACTCATTCCCTTTATGATGAATTCTCAACCTGCCCACTGTTATCCAGTTTGTCTGTGATTGGTTTCATTATCTTCCATTTATAAGCTGAACAATTCTGTTAACATGGTTGTGGTAGATAAATTCATGTCAACTTGATGTATGAAAGTGTAAGGGTGGTATTTAACCTGTCAGTCGGGTCACAACCTAATGGTGCCTCCTTGTAGGCGTGGCCCTCTCATAAGGAGGGCCCTGAGAACACCCTCCTCTCTCTGCCTTCACCTTCCTGCTTGCTGGCCACCCAGAGAGCTACTGGAGCCCTGCCATGTTTCCATTGACCTTAGATCCACTCAACTTTGCACCCTAGTGCTGTGATCTTCCTGCAATCTGCATCATTGTATGTGGCTGCATGAGTCTGAAGAGGGTCCTATGGACTGGTACAGGATTATGGACTTGAATTAGACTAGACTGGGATGCTTCTTAATATAAAGCTCTTTCTTACATATATATGAGTGTCTGGATTTGTTTCTCTAGTCAGACCAACCTGCCACAGTGCTCAAAATAGAATTTTAAAATTTTAATTGCATTTTATTACTATGTTGCTGATTTTTTTCTTCTTCTTTTTCTAGTTTCGAGTATTTACAGCCCCCTTCCATAAAGTAGGCTTTGCTGATTTCTGGCTGGCTGATCAGCTGAACAGCCTGTCAGTGATTCTGATGGACCTAGAATACATGATTTGCTTCTACAGTTTTGAGCTCAAATGGGATGAAAGTAAGGGCCTGTTGCCAGATGATATAGCAGGTAGGGTGCGAAAGTTCACACTACTAAACTGCCAGTGTAAACCAAGAGTTATTGAAAATGGTGCCTGAGAAACTTAAGGTTATGATGAAAACTTATCCAATAATATTGCAAACTTAATTAAACGTATTTGGCACTCTTAGCATTCTCTTTCTCTGATATAATTTGGCTCTTAAATTATGTGTTAAGATTTTACCATCCATTTGCCAAGAGATTTACAACTTACACTCAAAGAATCCTCAGACTGAAAAAAAAAAAATTTTAATTCTAGTATGTTGGTAGTTGTACCACAGATGCTTTAGTGCTAATAATTTGCCATCACAGTATTGATAATATTCCAAAGAAGGCAGTGGTTAAGATGCTGACTTTAGAATTAGGTTAGGTGCTTTATAAATTGTTTTTTACTTCTTATTTGGTACCTTGTTTTTTCCTGCCTCTTTTTTCCACAATTTACCTTATTCCGGTAGTTCAGGCTATAAAGGAATTATTCTAATGATTTAAAAAAACTTTATTTAGACAGATAATTTAACACGTGACTAATGACAGTTCATTAAACCTTAAGTGCTGACCCAATGCCTTTTCGTTGATTGCCAATGGAAGATTATAACTATCTTCAGCTGGTTGATCACACTATATTGTAGGTTGGTCATACCATGACACATTGCTAGAATTCAAAGACAAAATGGTTTTTCTCATTTAGAAGCACAAATTCATTTCTTCACCCCAGAAAAAGAGCCCAAGAATATGAATAGCCAATAGTAGGTGTATTACAGTAATTCAAAGTTCATGAGAATTGTGATATTTGTTTTTTAGATGTTTCAAATTACAGGGCCACCATCTCTATCAGTAAAGTTTGTTTTATATTCCTTTTGATTAGTAGATACTAACCTTCTCATTTTCCTATAATGTTCAAACACTCTAGAGAAAATTATTCCAGAACAGATACATAGTCAAAATCCCAAGAGGACAGCCTCCCACTAGTCCCCTCTGCAGCTCTCCTTCCCCTTGCTTTTATCTACCACTAGAAAATTTGGGAATAGTTGCAAAAAAGTAAGTGAGTCTGAAACCATCTCCTGTCTTTTATGGACTTGTTGGTTTTTTCATAAAATGGCTAAGCGATGTGGACAAGTTATTAATATTTTTAATAAATCATTTTGGGAGCCGTTGCAGCTCTTATAATAATCCATACCAAGTTACTTTTTTAATTGTATTTTTTTTCTTCTTTGAAATCTTCACAGGACCAGAAACTTGCCACAGTTACTCGTATGGAGTGCGGGCCGTTGTGCAGTGCATCCCCGCTTGGCTTCGCTTCATCCAATGCCTGCGCCGATACCGAGACACAAAAAGGGCATTTCCTCATTTAGTTAATGCTGGAAAATACTCCACAACTTTCTTCACCGTGACGTTTTCAGCCCTTTACAGCACTCACAAAGGTATTCTAGGATTAGAAAGAAATTTTTCACTTATATATCTATTTCTTACGGCCGGGTATGTTTCCCTTTGTCTATGTTTGTATTCCATTGGAATTCCAGCACTCTTAGGGCATTCTTGTTTGCTCCTGAACACAACTTTAGTCTCATTCCAATATTTACTAACAAGTACTATCAGAAAGGAGCAAAGTCACTCAGAATGTGTGACAATGCGTGAAATTCTGCGTTCTATGTATGAGCACCTAGGGTTTTCATTTGCTTTTTTAGACTTCCTCGTTCATTAATGCTAGGAAATGCTAGGTGAAAAAGATCCCCCCTGGCAATTTCTATATTTTTAATCTCTTCTCTTCTTGTAGTAAGGATTGTTTCCAGCCCATTTAGCTGCAAATTGAGTTTGCCTTCCGTCTATATTTCTTATCTCCATGGCAACCAGTTATTACTTGAGACTGCTCTTCTGTTAGGAGGAGAAAAATGCTTTTAGGTTCTGAGCCACACACAGTCACTCACTTTGAATTTTTAACCTTTTTCCAAGAACTGTCAATCAAAGCTCAATCCAGCTTCCTTTCACTAAAATGAAATTCTTTGTCTACTTAACATCAGCCCACGCTTTAAAAGCTACACTTTCTCATCTATAGGTGGTAAAGAAATGTTACTAAGAGATATTATTTTTTATTTGAGAAGGATGAGGCAGTCTACTGCTGTAAAAATTTACAACCTTGGAAACCTGTAGGCTAGTTCATCTCCGTCCTATAGGCTCACTATGAACCAGAACTGATTTGATGGCAGTGGGTCTGGGGGTTGGTATTTTAGGAGCTTTAGCTAATGTTTCACATTGGGCTACTAACCACAAGATTAGCAGTTTGAAACCACTAACCACTGCACTAGAGAAAAATGAGGCTTTCTACTATAAAGAGTTAGTCTTGGGAACCCATAAGAGCTGTTCTACCCAGTCTCATAAGGTCACTATGAGTCGGGATCAACTTGATGGCAGTGAGTTGTTTTGTTGTTGTTATATTTTGAGAGCTGGTGCTACAAAACTCTAAAGCATGAAGATAATCATTAAAAAAAATACTGTTTTAGTAAAACTTGGAATTTGGTCCAAAAGAGCAAACTGTGGCCCACGTTGACTTTCTGCATTAGATTCAGCAGTTACCCTGGTATTAATAAACGTAGCCAGTAATGTTATCACTGTGCAGGCACTCTTGTTAAGTGATATAATTTAGCTAAGTGCCTCGGTGAAGGAAACATCTCAAAGCTCCCATGATTTTACCTCTTGCGAAGAACTGCTGTCCTTTAGTCAGGTGTGCGCGTTTCATGGTGTGAAGCTTGCACTAGAGAAATTGTAAATCAAGTACCTGTGATGCCTGTGACAGAATTATCAAGAACCCTGCACTCTTCTCCAGTCCTGGGTGGAAATGAGTACTGTTTTTTTGTAGTTGACTATTGTATGTCATAAGATACCTTTAAACATACTGCTACTGTTCAGTAACATACTAAAATCTGAATTCCTCAAATTCACCAACTCCAAACCTGAAAACCCAAATCTAGAGAAGTAGTTAGTTTGGCTTGGCTTGTAATCTGTAGGCGTTTTCTTCTTATGAATCCCTGAAAGAACTTACTGAACGGCATTACCTCATTTGCATTTTTAAGTTGACATCTAGAATTTTTCACTTTAAGTTTAAATCATTTCAAAGGATACAGTTGCCTGTGTATTTTCATTATTCACTTTAAAAACAACTAACTGCTAAGTCTCTACTAAATATGTCCAAGTAATCTAAATTTTTTTAATTAAAAAAAAATAGAAATTTTGCATCCCTCTCCTAGTGATGTCATTTTAAATTAATATAGCTTTTTTAATAACTTTGGTCTGCTCCATGTGTTTTTATGTAAGTCGAAATTTAAGTTTTGTGTATTCCCTGTCATTCCCTGTCTTTAAGAGATTTTTTTTTCTGGATTGTGATTATCATTGCCATGATTATTATCTATAATGGATCAAGACAACATTACAAATGTATTATGAATTTCAATAAATTATTTTACATTTCGCAATGAGATAAATTCATATTACTTATAGCTGCCCCCTTTAAGTAAATTCTGAGAAACTTTGTCAACCAAGATGTAGAATGGAACAAAGGTGAGAATGGACGGCATTTTGCTGCAATGTCGCTCAGCTTTTGAACCATGCCTGAGTTATGTGCTGTCAAGTTAACAAAGCAAAATCAAAGAGCTGAGCTTTGATAGGAAGAGGTTTTATTGAGGAAGAAAGGGGAGCAAGGGAAATGAGCGTTAGAAGTAGTGGAAGAGAAGAAATAGACAATAGGCAGGGCCCTTGCCAACTGCAAGGTGTGCAAGAGTGCAAGTCTCAGCGCGTTAGAGAGAAATTGTTTTTCTTATGTAGAGAATAAGAATAAACAAAGTGAGAAGGGAAAAAAATAGGTGTGAAAAAATGAGATAAAACAGGCATGTGATCAGCTATTAAATCTGAATGATTTATGCTGAAGGCAGCCTCTTCTCCAGGAGGGACCCTTAAAGAAGGAAATGCACTCTGATTGACTCAGACTAAGGCTGGGCCCAAGACTAGGGACTTGTGGGAAGGAGAAAAGCTTCACCAAAGTTTGGTTAACAAGCACTTTGTTTCTGATCTTTGGGGACAAGCAATCCATTACTATTTATGAGGCAAAGAATGGGGATTTGGAGGATCTGTGTGTGACCTGGTTTAGGAAATGGACCTTTCATGAGTCTTATCTAAGTTTGAACACAAGAGGGGGATTTCTTTAACCACTGCTGTTGTTTTGTTTTGTCTTCAGTATCATAGGTCAAATTCAGTATTATCAGTAGCCCCAGAATTTCAGTGGTCCACCATCAGTTATTTTTAATGATCTGCCACGTTTTCTTTGTTGAAAGAAAAGAATTAGAGATAAGCTGCAATGAAAAGGATTTGTTAATCCAAGTAAAAGTGTCAGGACTCACATGTTGGTATTAATCCGTGTCGTGAGAGCTGTGTTGCTGACCAACTGGTCTGTGCCACACAGACACTGAGCGTTCACTGCTCATTCACCTCTGTAAAGCCAAATGGACCAACTGAAGTCTGTGTTCCTCTTTGTAGCAGACTCCATTAAAAGATGCTAAACCAGAAAAAAAAAAAGGATTTGTTAATTAGTAGTATTTAGAACCTTTCACAATTTCCGTTTCTTGTTATAGGACCTATGTGGAGGTTGTTTAGTTCCGCATACTCAGGAAGGTTTAGGGAAATCAAAATATTCATTTCAGTACACATTTGCAGTCCAATTTTTTTGTTTTGTTTTATGAAAAAGCTTTTATCTTACTTTTAAAATATATTTTTCACAAATTCTTGGAGCTATAAATTATTCTCATTTAATTTACGGAGAAACCCTGCCACACCTTACTGTTGAAATCAGACAGCCAAACCAGCTATATAAGAACATTTTTTTAACTTCAGATTGCCATTTACTGTAAAAATACCTCAATTCTTAATTGCAAATTAAGTATGGTTGCATGGCAGGATAGGTAGGTAGGTAGAGAGAATGCTTGAATTCAAGTAATTACTGAGAATATTTTGTGGGCCACGGCTGTGCTTGGTTCTAGAAATACAGCAACAAAGTAAGCACAGTTCCAGCCCTGAAGAAATTATAATCTAGTATTTAAAAAAAAGACAAGTAAAAAGGCCTTGAAAAGGAGTATACGAATTAATCAGGGTACTAGAACTGCCTACACACAAACCCCTAAACTCTTAGGTCTCTGGTTGGCTTGTTGAGAGAAAAATTCAAAGTTTTAGTACAACGAGAGGTGCCTTTGAAGAAAGGCCTGGCCATCTATTTCTGAAAACTCTGTCCTTGGATACCTTATGAGGCACAGTTCTGTTTTGACACTCATGATTGTCATAAGTTAGAGGATTCCATTATGAGTCTTTCCCAAAGCCGTATAATTTGTATGTTGTGAAAAGTGATACTGTTTTCAGCTCACCTTCAGGCTTAGAACTCTTTCATTCAAACAAAGCCAAATCTTTTTATTAATTAATTAATTTTATGATTAATTTTTATTGTTTTATAACAATTTTATTTATTTATTTATTTGTTTGTTTGTTTGTTATTAGTTCCAAACGGAATTAATAGCACCTACTCTGGTTAATTCACAGAGTTGTAAGAATTAAATAAGACCATACCCATAAAATTGCCTTTATAAATTCTAATGTGTGCTACATCAATAGAAACAATGATTCAATACAATACAATTCCTGTTGCTCCCTTATGACTGTCATATGTATGCTTCCTTTAGGAAAGTCTTTTTAAGAAAAACTCTTAAAATTTTCTGGGTAGGAAGTTGTAGAGCCAAGTATCAGTTAGGAATGTGTTTGGAGTTTTGACCAAGTAGCCAGCTATATGCTCCTTGAACATAATTCATATTCCCACAGTGAAATTAAGAAACCAAAGAAACATTTTGTAGAGTTAAATATTTTAATCATATTTCTAAGATTTAAAAATCTATTAAAATGTTACATGACTAAACATCAAACAGAAAAACTTGGAGGAGAAATTGAAAAGACAGCTCAGTAGAACCACTGACAGAAAAGATGATGTTGAAGAATGATCAACAGTAGAATTTTCTTTTGTTGTCTTGAAAATTATTGCAAGGGAAAAGGCATCAGAAAACATAGATATTAGAGATACTCATTGAGCCCCCACCCCAAAAATATATTTAATGTAGCTAATCAAATAGATAGTGTTCTGTTATTGTATGTGTGCTATTGCAAAAGATAAATTTTATGAGGGTAAAATGGTATGGTGAGAAACCTTGTTCAGGTTCAGCAATCTTCATTTCCTCAGAGAACTAGCCTGTATGAGTAATCATAGTGGTAGCATTATTGAGAGCATTTTAAAGGGTTTTCAAAAGTTACATATCTCATGTTATGTTGCATGGTTTATAAGAATGGAGTTAACAAGAGCTAACTACATCAACAATAATTTTTCAGAAGGTGGGAAAAG